AACCTAAACCTAACTTCTAGAAATAATAGATTTTTATCCCTATTTCTATATAATAAGGCCCTACCTATATAAATACTATAGCTCTAATTAATAGTAGAGCTACAGGCATAGGTTATATTTATAGGAATCTGGCGCGCGTATAGAACCTCTGCCTTAACCTGCTCCCTTATATTTTACGCCTAACTAGATTTAATAGAAAAACGCTTAAAGAAGGATAGATTACGCACTCTACGCAAGTAACCCTCCGCTATCTAAACTATATAGAATAGATCTGTCTCTATATACTAGAACTTAGCAAATATAAGCTGCTACTAAAATAGCCCTGGCTGTATAAGCACTGTATTGGATTTAACTATAATAACTAATAACTATTGTTTTAATTATCCTAATACTAGGCGCAATACCTGCGCAACTTCTAAACCTCTGCAATAAGAACTTATATAGAACAGCTTCCTAAAGCACCCCTTATTAAGCAGTACCTAACACCCTTAATATAACACTCTTACTTGCAGCAATTAAGCCTGTTTATACAACACCGATATAATTACTAGCTTCCTAAAATAGTATACTAGATAAATATACCCGACCCTAAACCTAAGCTAGAAACTAAACCTAAAACTAAATCTAATTCTAAATTTAAACCTAATACCCGGATAGATATCTATATACTAAACGCGGTGTCTATAACCTAATTAGCCTAATAACCTAATTATAAAATCTTTGCTATTACTATTGCCGATATTAATAAGGCCTTAGCTCTAAAAACCCGAACCGACCCAGCTATAAAAGTCCTAGTATAATATTACTATTTACTAAAAACCTTCTCCTAATAGGAAGCTAATAAGTTACCTAAACACTAAACGTATAATTATAAAATTATGCTTAAAAACAGCAAACTACACGGATTTAGCCTGTTGTATAGAATATTATAAAATAAATTAAAAGTGCTAAGGAAGTACCTTAATAATAACCTCGCGAAAGGATTTATCTGTGCCAGTTTATTACCTATCGCCTCTCCGGTTATCTTTATTAAAAAGCCCGGAGGAGGCCTATAATTCTATGTTAACTACCGCGCGCTAAATACTGTAACTATTAAGAACTAATACCTAATTCCCTTAATTTAGAAGACCCTAGCATAATTAAGTAAGGCGAAATACTATATAAAGCTTAATATTGTCTCCGCATTTAATTGCTTATAAATCGCGAAAGGAGATAAATAGCTAACTACTTTCCGAACGCAATACGGCCTGTTTAAATACCTGGTAATGCTATTTAGATTAGCTAACGCTCCTAGTATATTCTAATACTATATAAATAATATGCTCCGCCTGTACCTAGATATATTCTATACCGCATATATTAATAATATTCTAATATACAGCAAAAACTTCGAAGACCACTAGTATTATATAAAGCTAGTCCTAGAAGTAATAGAAACCACCGGCCTATAACTAAATATTAATAAGTGCAAATTCTATTAGGATAAGGTTACCTACCTAGGGTATATAATATTAACCGGCGGAATTAGTATAGACCCGAATAAAATTAAGGATATCTATAACTAGGAAGTCCTCTATAATATTAAGAACGTATAAGCCTTTATTAGATTTGCAAACTTCTACTAATAATTTATTAATAATTTCTCTAGCCTGGCCGCTCCCCTAATTGCACTTATAAAAAAGGATATTCTGTTCCGGTTTAATAAGCCCTACCGTGCGGTATTTAAACAACTTAAGACAGCGTTCACCACCGCCCTAATCCTCCGTTATTTCGACCCTAAACTGCTAATTATTATTAAGGCCGATTTGTCTAACTATATAAACGCTGGAGTGCTCTTGTAAATAGATAAATAAGGAATACTTTAACTTGTAGCCTACTTTTTAAAATAATTAAGTTTTGCTAAATATAACTATAAAATCTATAATAAGGAACTCCTAGCAATTATCTAATGCTTTAAACAGTGGCGGCCTAAACTAGAAGGCGCAGTATTCCTAATTTAGGTTTTTAGTAACTATAAAAACCTGCAGTACTTTATAACTATAAAGCAGTTAAGCTACTAACAGGCTTATTAGTCTAAATACCTGTCCTAATTTAACTTCTTAATTACCTACCGACCTGGCAAGTATAGTAAGAAGCCTGACGCCTTAACGCGTTGTACGCAAAATGCGCCTGTATAAGAAGAAGCTTAAGCAGCCTAAAATTAAATACTGCTCTGTTCCGACCTGTTCACGCAGTTAAATCTAACAGAAACCGACTGAATAATTTAGGAGATTATTAAGGATAAATACCTAAATAATAAGTTTATCCAGGAAGTCCTAGAAATATTATGCTCCGGAGTACACCGCTCTAAGAAAATCACCCTAAGTAAATATAAAGAGTAAAATAGCAAGCTCTACTTCCGCAACTAAATAGCAATTCCTAATAATAATAAACTAAAGATTAAACTGCTTCGTCACGTATATAATTCCCCTGTTAGCGGCCACCCTAGATATAGAAAAACTCTAGAAATCCTCTAAAGAAAATACTACTAGCTGTATATATTTAAAATAATCCGCCGATTTATAGCATGCTATTACACCTGTTGCTGTATAAAGGCTTTAAAAAAGAAGTATAATAGCTTCCTAAAACCCCTGCCTATCCTGCAGTGTTACTGGTAAAATATTTCTATTAACTTTATTATTAAACTACCTAAATCCGAAGGCTGCACTAATATTATAGTTATAGTAGACCGCCTAAGCAAGTACTAATATATAATTCCCTATAGAATAATTACAGCTAAGGCTATAGCCAACCTATTCTACTAATATATTTAGGTATATTACGGATTGCCTAATATATACATATCCGATTAAGGATTATAGTTTATTTCCGTATTTTAGAATAAACTTTATAAGCAACTACGTATTAAAGCCTAATTATTATCGGCCTTCTACCCGGAAACTAATAGCTAAATAGAAAAGGCTAATTTAATGCTGGAATAAGTCCTCCGCGCCTATATAAACTATAAGTAAGATAACTAGGTTACCTGGCTGCTGTCTGCTTAGTTTAAGGCAAATAATATCTAATCTAAATTAATAATAGTAACACTGTTTATTGCTATCTTAGGACAATACCTAAAAATAGGCTTTAAACCGCTATTAGGAACTCCGCACCCTGCTTATTAAGTACTGCAAGCACTTAAGGCTAATTAGATAGTTAATAAAATATTGGACATCGAGCAGTTTATCCGCAAAGAGATAACTTAGGCCTAAGCAATATAAGAAGAATACGCCAACTAAAAATATATAGGCGCACCGGCCTATAAAGTAGGTAATAAAGTCTGGTTAGATATATAGAATATCTATATAAATTAACCCTTTAAAAAGCTTAATTAGAAGAACCTAGGGAAGTTCCCAATTATATAGATTATCTCTCCGTACGCCTATTAACTAGGCCTACCTAAATTTATAAAGATATATCCTGTCTTCTATATTTTATTACTCCGTCCTGCCGCTCTGCAAGCTAACTACCTGCCTAGCTAGAAGTTGCCCCTACCTAAACCTATTTAAGTTAAAGGAGAGACTGAATAGTATATTAACTGTATTAAAGGCATGCGCCTGAACCGGCGCCGAAAGTAATATAAGTACTTAGTCCGATGGACTGGATACAACAACCTGTCCTGGCAACCTGTTGACGACCTAAAGGACACTACTGCTGCGGCTGATTATCATCGCCGCCACCCCGAAGCTCACAATCCTGCGTCCAATGAGCCCCGTCCTGCTGGACCCTGAAACCTTAATCAAGATTCAATTCACAGCCCTACTCCTAACAAATAGCCGTACACATCACGAACAGCGCCTCCTACTTGCCAAGAGACTTGGGTTTAGGAGGGGGGTACTGTCACGGTATCGACCGCGACACCCTACCTACCGAAATTCTGCCGCAGATTGCTACAACTCCAGCAATCTGCACCGGTCTACTACCGTTGGCCGGCCTCCTGCCCTGCCTGCCCTGCTCCGCTCCCGTCTCGCTTCCGCTTCCTATCCTGTCCCGCTCCAGCCACCTACCGGCTGCCCCCTTTTCCTATCACCTGATCTGGTAAGGACCTCGCGTACACGCGTGCCACGCGCCGAAACGGCATAGAGGCCGTACGCCACGCGCTCGGCCACGCCCTTATATCCGGTGGCCCGTCTCCCGTCTTCCTGTTCCTTACACAACGTCTTGATTCTCCACGTAGCATTGTACATAGCACCTAATCAACGCTCCTCTTTGAGCCCTCGACCTCTTGCGTGTAGCGCTATCGTGACAGTCTTTATATTATTAAACTTCTAGCTATAGTACGCAATTAGGTGCTGGTAATTTTAATCCTGTTTACCTGTTATATTTTAAACTAGTTAAAGAAGTATACCTAAATAGGTAAAATTAGATATATCTATAATAAGTATAAGCAGCAATTGTAGGTTATAGTGCTGGAGCACTAGTGCCTGCATAAATACTATATATAGCGTGCGAAATATATATACTATATTATCGGGCCAGTTCTATAGTTTATACTACTTTATAAAACCTTTTTTTAACTTCTTCCTTTTTAGGTTTAGAGTTATTCCTTCCCCCCCTTAAAGGGGCTAAGAGGCCTGTAATATATATATATATTTAGCTTATTTGCTAGCTATAAGAAATTCTAAAGTATTAATAGAAGTTTATAAAGCCTAGGAACACCTAGATATTATAGTAGTTCTCTAGCTTAGGCTATTTTTTAATTACTTTAATATAGACCGGGTTTATAATAACGCCCTCTAGGGTAATAATAAACCCTAGGAACTTAATATATTTAGTGTGGAAAGCGCATTTAGATAAGAGGAAGTTGAAAAGGAACTCTATGATATCGTGCATAGGCGTGGCTTGGAGACCGTATGGAGTGCAGCTGGCAATGATAAGCGACTCTATCAGCCAACCGGAACGTCCCCCGCCAGTTGGAAGAACATGCAGCCACATCCAATGAAGTTGGATTTAGTTTGGGAATGTTCCCAGCTAAACACGATCTAATTGGCTGGCGTCGTGCCAGACCATATCCCGCCTGCAAAGATCTCCTTTGGTGTCAACCCTCCTCTTCCATTCTCACCATCCTCTTTCAAATGGACAGCCTTTCCGCAGTCATCGAAGCCCTGTGCAATGCCTCTGACGATGATATTCAGCGTTGCCTCATCGCAATTCAACAAGACAAACTCAATCGAGCGATCGAAAGGCTGAAGCCCACGCCACCTACGCCAGACGCGACTCCTGGTTCCAGATTAGCTCTCGCGTTACAGAACATTCTCCCTACTCTCCAGACGCTCTTCTCTCGGGGCGTTCAGGATGCGGTGGGGGTACCCCGGTGGGAAACGGAGGACTATCATATCCTCGACATCCGTGCTGTTCGGAACTATGCTCGCAGGAAAACACCTCAAGCCTACTTTCGGGCATACCTTGCGGAATGGCATTTTGGTGAATGTTTCAACGACTACAATCCGTCCCAACTTGCAGACATGCTCCAAAACAAAACCTTTTCGAAGTATGGCAAGCGCAAGATGTCATATACCGCATTCCTAAAAGGCAAAGAATATACCGCGGAGTCGATTGAGGTAGCGCGCAAAGCTATTCCCAACGGGCTCAAATATCTTGGCATAGAGCAGTTTCATCCATCTCTCGCGGGTATCTTATGTATCTTATGTATCTTGGTGTTCGTATACCATTCATTTAAGACACTAGAATTTTAGGAACTTTTGGATACTCTCCTCTTAGATAGACTTTCTGCGGTAAAAACATTTGCAAACAGCATTGCCGACTACCTTTCTATCGCCCGAGATCAATACGAAAGCCAGAAACACCACGTTCCGCCTTTATCGGCCATTAATGCTAGACCAGCTGCTCTGCCGCATTCACGAACACCTTTATGCGCCAGGCCTTAGCAGGAGAACCTTCAAGGTGAAGTGCCCGTCTATGTAGATGGCGCACCACTAACATTGCTCGTATTCCAGAATGCACCATACGCCCACACAAGCGCCGGAGAGTTAGGAGCGCTACCGCATCCCACTCGACTCTTATACAAGGAGGAATTGATCCACAGTAAAATATATAAGTTGACGGCACACAATTAATCTATATGCCAAGTTAAACAGCACGTATAACAGATAAGAGACCTCTTTTGCTTTAGACTTCCGAAGGTCACCGTTGGAGCACCTTAGACCAACAGGGACAATGCGACGTCACCGCACCCGCCAATAGACCGGGCAACTTTACTACATTTAGAGATACATGCTTTAGAGATACGGCCTCGCTGTTGACAGGCAAGGAACCGGCCAACTTCACTGCATTTGGAGATACAGCCTTTGGAGATACGGCCTCGCTGTTGTCAGGCAAGGAACCTGCCAATTTCACCGCATTTGGAGATACAGCCTTTGGAGATACAGCCTCGCTGTTATCAGGCAAGAAACCCGCCAATTTCACCGCATTTGGAGAAACAGCTTCGCTTACAGTGTTTGGGCAGAACCAGCCACCTTGGTTTTCTAAAGACATGCCAGGCGCTTTCTTACTATCCAACGGGTAGAGATAGGGCAATAGGACAATAGGACATATATTCTTGGCTAGTGTATAAAAAAGAACTCAATATTATTGCTAATGAATGCTATCTTCCCAGGCGCGAAATAGAACGCCTTTCCCGGAGTGAAGCTTAACGACTTTTTAGGCTCTGGAGTGATACCAATGTATGGAGATGGAGATTCTCCTAACATCCGGACAGGGACGAGGAGCTGCTCACGGTCGTTGGTCAACCACCCCCTTCCTTGCTGAGGTCTTGCTAGACCCCAATATTTCGGTATCTAGTTGCTAATTAGGAACGTATCCTAAATTTAATATACTGTTTCCTTACCTCATCCTTAGATCGAGTAGTATTGAAAAGTGTGACCACCTTTGCCCAGAGTTCCCCCGACCTGTGTGCCTAGCTTCGGGCTCGTACATTTTTCAAAGTAGGGAACCCCATCTTCAAACTTCTCATTCTTTTCCAGCCACTTTTCCAGCCGGGTTACGAGCGCTCGTAGCCCTTCATCAACCGTGTATTCCTCCAGGTGTTCGGGCATAAGGGGAACGCGGGGTAGGATGCTCGATCTGGAACGGATTTTTAGCGATAGACTGCTACGTAGAAAGATATATGTTTACTTACTGTTGCAGACCAGATGTATGCAGGATAGGTTGTGCTGTCAGTGAGGGGCATTCCGAGGCGTCTATTAAGCTAAGCCCCCGGGCTCTTTAAGGAAACTATTCCTGTAGCTTAGCTGTCTCCCGAGGTAGGATACTAGCTGGCGAATGGGAAGGGGATACGACGGTGCGGCGGGCTTGGTAGGGCGGGGCATGCATGGGGTGGATGCAAGGCTCCTGTGGCTTAGGTACCGTGTGGTTTAGATATACCGGGTCTTCTCGACAGGTGGCCATCGATCACAGGTATCAAAAGATTCGGTTAGCAGGGCATTCAGGTTAGCGATATCGGCATGGGATTGTCTGGATCACTCATTTTCGTGATATTCCCACTAGCTACGGCTTTGGTATCGTCGATGGCCGATGAGATGGTCAGGAGGGAATCAGCCCTGAAACACCCACTCCTCATCATCGAGCTCCGCCCACCGTCCCAACCCCGGTGTCGAGGGCTCAGGATCCTTCTTCCCACCCCCATCACTCCCCTCACCACCGCCAACACCGTCAACGGGAACTCCACTCTCCTCAGCAACAGCCGCACCCCCATCCTTCCGCTCACCCAGCTTACCTCCCTCCCCACCCGCCGCCTCATTAACCCCAGCATCCCCCCCTTCCTTCGCCTCCCACACCTCCTCCTCCCTCTCCCAATCCTCCACCACCTCGACCTCCTTCTTCCCACCCACCCCGCCCCGCCGCGCAAGCACCGTAAACCGCCCACTCCCACCTCCTCCAAAGCCCCCCGCCGCCTTATACAGCCTAGCAGCGCCTCCAGCCCCCGCCCTCCCGCCCCTCGCAGCGACCTGGCTCCACCCTGCGCCCGGCCCCGCATCCGCCTCTCGCCTATGCACATTCAGACTAGAATCCAGACGCACGAGCTGCAAGCTCCCCAATCCGTGCGCTTTCACCACCTTCAGCAACGCGGGTTTCAGCGCCGTGAGGCTGGCTTCGACGTCGCGTTCCGAGTTCGCAAACTGGTTCGAAGCCGTGTGCGAGGGCGTGAGCGCGACCTCCTCGCTAGGCAAGAAGGCGATATCGAAGTGCATCCTGTGCTGCTCGAGTTCCGGGCGGATCGTAGCGCGGAGTTCCTCGATAGTCAAGCCGAAGCGCGGGTTGGAGAGGAGGAAGCCGTTGTAGGGTTCGCCTAGCAAGTTGCTCTTTTTCAGGCCAGAGGGGGCCGTTGGGGGAGGCGCGATGTTAGCCGTCGAGACACCTAGCGTGCGTTGAGTTTGGCGGATGCGCGCGCATTCGGCGAGTGTTTTCATGGGCGCGGTGACGAAGCGGGGGGTTTTGAAGATGGCGACGTGGCGGTGCGGCTCCGGGTCCATGCTCTCGCTGTCGAAGCCGAAGTCTTCGGCTAAAGCGTGCAGGAAAGCGCGGTAGGAGGAGGGCATGGGTTTGAACCTCAGCCGGCGCTCTGCAGGATCGGCGGCGAAGATGCGGAGGTCCTTCTCTTGCGCAGAGGCCCATTGCACGTTGTCTTGGTAGAGTTTGAGCGTTTCTGTGGAGTAGGGCACATGGTCGTCTGCATGCGCAGCCTGGTCGATATTCAACGCGATTGCGAGCTTTCGATTACGCTCGAGGCGAGCGCATTCGTCGTCACATTTGAGAGATTTGGTGATATTGCCTCCGGAAGCCTTCGAGGCACCGCATTTTGTCTCTTGCTTGATACGCTGGCAGTCGCAGGTGACGAAGATTTTGTGCTGGCAAGGTTTGTCTTCCTTGCACGGATATGGGGAATGGCAGGGTGCGAGGCAGGCGTGACCGCAGGTAGGAAGTTCTTTGCCGCAGGATTGCTGGCAAGGCTCTTCGCATTGGCCTGGGGTGTGACATTGCTTTTGGCATCTGTCTTAGGTTAGCAAGCTGTATGTGAATGAAAATGCCTGATCATAGATCCATGTACATCGCTCTGCCAATGCCCGAGATGACCCCGCCAGTTTTGGGGATTTCAAAATCATGAAATTCCCACTCGTTTCGATTTCCGAAAACTCATCGAGGCGTTTCAGACATCTGCGGACAAGCGTACGCAGGTCATTCAGCATGATGACTTCCCCTCCTTTTCAGATACCCGAAATGCATCGGAGTCCTTTAGACAGCTGTAGCCGTACGCAGACCTTTTAGACCGAGGAGAGTCCACCTTTTCCAGTCTTCCGAAAATGCATCGGAGAACGTCAGACGGCGACGGACAGGCGTACACGGATCCATCATGAAGCAAAAATATAACTTACTTATGCGCACCACACCTCAACTTTCTCCCACAAACCTCCCCACAACGTGCCTCTGTCCGCCAGCACGGTTGGTTCCTCATAGTATTTTTCCCACAAAGACACGTCTTCGTGGTCAGAAACGGACACTTCGGGCACTCCTCCTCATCTTGATGACAAGTATGCGCAACCTGTTGATGCCCACACGCTTTCGGCCGCTCGCACTGCCACCGACACGGGGGCGGCTTCGTACCGCAAGGCAACGGTGGGTGTAGAGTAGTTCTGCCACAATTACAAGAAACTTCGTCAAAAATAGCTTCGCGACAGGTTTCGCAGGGGCCTTTGTGGCAGAGCTGCTGGCAGCGGTGCAGCGGGTTTCCGCACTTCAATGCTCGGTCGCACGTCCGGGTGCAGATATGTTCGGCTTCAAAGCCATCATCGGGCCTACCAGCTGCATGAAGCGCACGAAGCTTCCGCTTGCTGGCCTGGCGGTCGGCTGCTTTGCGTTCGCCTGGGCAGCAACGTTCTCCGCACTCATGGCGACCGCAATTCAAGGTGACGCGGCAGACGCGGGTGCATTGGGGAGCTTCTTCGGTGCCTTGATGGCAGATGGTAGACGAAGTGGTGCGGCCGCAGCGGCAAATGATGGTGACCTTTTGAAGGCAAGGCTTGCACTCGTCTTGGTGGCAGAGCTGGACGCAATTGTGGCCACAGGGTAGTATTTTACCGCAAGGTTCCGCGCAATTGGGTATAGGATCCTCGCACTTCTGTCGGATCTTGTCTGAGATTTCCCCGAGTGGTGTCTTTCCGCAAGGGCAGAATGAGACAACATCCGGTGATCGAGGGCAATGTGTCGGCTCGGCGTCCTGTTTATGGCATGACTTCGAGCACGTGTGCTTCCCGCAATCGAACTCTCGGTCGCAAGTATTCGGACATTCGAACAATCCAATCCACTCCTCCAACACTTTTGATCCATCTTCAGCAACATGCGACCGAACGCTCTTTTCCTTCCACCCCTGTTCACAGCACAGTATGTCTTTTTCAACCTGTCCGCAGTAACAGCGAGCGGGAATGCGGACTTCACAGGCTCCACAAGGCCCTTCGTGACATGGTCTGTCGCAAACATGCTCGCCACAGGGCATAAGCTCACCGCAAGGCTCGCCACAGCTCCAGCCCGATTCGTAATTCGTATCCACGCATCGCTTTGTAGAAGTTTTCTTTCCGCAAAAGCAGGCTTGAGTGGGTCCCATATGAGCGCACGGAGGACAAGGCCCACTATGACAGATATTCGGGCAAGGATGTGGACATTTCTTGAGCAACCGCTGTCTGGCACAAGTTTGACCGCAGGAGAAGGGTGGCGTTCCCGGAAGAGGTCTCGGATCGACTTCTTTCTCGCACCAGCACGTGAACATCTTTGGCAGGTCATCCTTTGGAAGATTGCAGCCAGGGCATCTCCATTGCCGCGGTGGAGGCATTTCACCGTCCTGGGCTTCGCGGCGCGCAGCAGCAGAGCCTTCGTTGGTAGACCACTTCTTGATACAACTCAGATGGAAAACCGTCCAGCAAGTTCGACACGACCACACGCGGGAATTTCTCCGCACATCTTCGGTACAAATAGCGCACTCATAGTGACCGTTGTCAATATCCTCGTGTATTCTCGTTGAGATATCTGGCGCTTGTGACTTGGACATGCGACGCTTTCGGGGCAAGTTCTTCGCTCGACCTGAGTGGGCTTGGCCAGGTCGGAATTCAGGCGCATCGGCTTGCAATCCCGTGGGCCTTGATAGACCATTGGCGGTCCCCTGGCCCTCCGGTTCCTGCGTCAGATCGCCACCAAATTGACGTCGTCCACCAGCTGCCATACGGGACTGGTCTCCAAATCGCCCTCTTCCCGCATTATGATTGCCACCTCTGTCCCGACCTTGGGAGGCCCCGCGACCTCCTCTTCCTCTCCGCGATGGACCATGATTCTCGCTGGCAGAAGCGTCGGCGCTCGAAGGCTCGCTGGACGCGGGTTGTGATGGAGGAGCTACAGTCGCTGGCGTCAACGCTATGCCACCGCGGCCTCGCTGGGGTCCGCCTCGACCCCTCCTACCTCCCCGCTGTGGTTGTGCATTTTCAGGCTGATCGGCAGGTTGTGGCGGTGGTTTTCGATTCTTCGGTCGTCGTCGTCTCGTGTTTGGCTGGTCTGCAGGTCCGGTAGGTAGCTGTCCTGGAGGAGCTGCTGTCGCTGGAGTAGCGGACATGCTCTGATGAATATTGGTTCCGGCACCGTCTGAGATGGCACCGTGGGGTTCCAGCTTGTGCAAAGTGGAGGATACTCGTGTCGTTCGGATTTCGAGAGTCGGTTGGAGCGCCCTTGACTGTGGCAAGAGAGCGTACACTGTGAGGAATCTGGACACGCGAGAAGTTTGTGCTGGAATTAGTTGGAGGGGTAAAACTCGGATGCTTCGTAATGGATCTGACGAAGGGAACTCGCGCAGGCACCAATAAATATGGCCTGGTGAACGGTAAAGAAAGGGATGCTGGTGGGGAGTGGGAGAGAGTTAGTGGCGAGCAAATGTTCTTGAAGTGGTTCGTATATTTGGCCGCGGGCAGCAAGCGACGCTAGTATGCAAGCACAGCCGGCCTGAGGACTCAGAGCAGACGCAGTCACTGTGACTCACGCCCGGGCTTGCGCAGTAACTGTCGTCTCGTACACCCACCAGATCCGAGGCCGTGCAGTATGGAGGGGGAGTGGCAGCGGCGTGAATGCAGAATCTATAGATTTCCTGGTGTTGACTCGGCAGGAGACGCAGGCACGCGGGGCATGAAAAAGGTGGCACTCTATTCTACATGGGCAGATGGGTGTGTGTGCGTGTCTGCCACTGCTTGGGGTGCTTCAAAGCATTTTCAGAAATCTAAACGGGATAGAAAGTCTGCACTCTGGGCTATGTGGAGACTTGTTGAAGCACCTCAAGCAGTGCTAGACAGGTGCGCCTATGAGACAGCGTGGTTAATACCTATCAACAGAAAGTGGCAGTCCACAAAATCCATGAGGTGTGTATACACTCCAGCTGTGGAATTCTCAGCGTCCGGCTGATATTCGGGCACGTGATGGCTAGACACGTGATATATAGGTTTCTATACACGTGATGTGTAGATCTATACTAGGAGGCCTTCCTACTATAGATCTAGTTAATATTTAGGGCCGCACGGGCCCTCCCTACGTGTATATAGCCTAGCTAGATTCCTACATAGAATCGACGTCTTCTGTCCTCCATTCTTGTTATCACGTGATCGGAGTAATCACACAGCTGTTTCTGTGCTTATATACACTTATTTGGCACCGCGTGAGGTCCTCTAATACGCTATTGTTACGAAGGAGTTCGTTTTTTTTTTGAGCACGAAGCGAAAACGCATCACCAAATTCCAAGTGCCCTGGTGCACGCGTAGACCACCCACCACTTGAAATAAATTTCTAATGGACCTGCGGGATGCAGTTTTACATGCTTTGAAAAATTAGACCCTTTCGAAATATCATTTATCGTTGTGGTGGCCTCTATTCGCTGCCGAATTGGTCGTATCTTTCTGGGTGATTGCTCGAAAAAAGCGAATTCCTTCGTACTCATGAAATACCGGGTTTGGAGCGCCTGATAGCTCTCCGGGCCACCTTACAAAGGTAGACGGTATTGAAATGCTTGCGTGTGCCACCTTTTTCTGCCTAGCGTGGCAGGCGTCATCCGGCGCGTCGGCCGCCGGCGAAAGTGTTGTTCCAGCTCTCTTCATCGCGAACTGGGCCTCCTCCATCACCCCCATCACGATACCCAGCCATGGCAGTCCGATCACTCGGGGCGTTTGCCCTCGCATCTGCATGCGCCGTCTCTGCCTTCCAGAACACGTCTCCTTTCTTCCTGTTCTCCAACACCGAGTAGGCCGCCCAGAGCTCCTCCGCAGGCCTCAAGCTAATTACTTCTTCCAGCCAACTCCAGCCCTTCGATAACGCCAGCCCCCGGCTTCTCAGCGCGAACACGCTCAATTCCTATCTCAAGCGGTCACTCGCAGAATGTGCGCCATCGGGGACACCACATAACTACATCGTCGTCCACCAACTCGGCGCCTCCACATGCGACTATCAAGACGACAAGTCCACGCCCTACCTTTCCGGATGGCTGGACGGAAGCGATCCCCAGATCAAACAGAGCATAGTCGTGCCAGAGGTCGTGGGCCAGGTCTATCTAGAGACAATACAGATGACTATCGGCGAGAAATGCAAAGGAACATTTGAATGGATAAACATCAGTACGGGCCCTTCTTCCTATCCGCCTTGACGCTGAAGCTGATAAATATCTACAGAGGACCTGTCGGATCACACAGCTTACCAAACCAGGGTTAGCGGAAGCCCGCGAGTCATCACGATAGTGTTTCCCGCCCTCCCGGTGCAGGACTCTGCCGAGAAGCTCGCTGAGAACGGTTAGTTTCCTCACTCGTCACTATAAAGGCTGAAGCTAATAGCTACCTAGACGCTTTCCTCTCCGACTTCATCCACAACCACATGAAAGACGAGCAGTGGACTGTCATCTATGTGACAACGCCCAGAGATGGGCTTGAAGAGGTCGTGGCACAGACATACGAGATGGATGAACCTTTCCTAGGCACCACCAACATCGAATTAAAACGAGACGTCGACAGCCACGCGAATGAGAAGGTGCTGGAGGGCGGTCTTTTCGAGAAATACATGTTCCTTTCCCCAGGTACTTTCCACCTCTTATGCCTTACCATTCCAAGCTAATGCCGTCGTGATAGGTCTCTTCATGGGCCTTACAGCTGTCGTTCCCCTCTTCCTCATTCTATACGTCGGTATCACTGCTCTCACGAGCCTCGAAGTGTCGTACTTCGCTTTCAGCAAAGAAATGGGCCCGGCAGGGCAGAAGAAGCAATAGGAGATTGTGTATATTGTGTAAGGAAGGCTGTGTATGGGATTGGAGTCATGGCGCAGGTCTAAAGATCTACCGATAGTTATAGCGGAATGAATTGATTGGTTTCTGGAGACGAACGTGTGGATGGATGCATGATCGCCCTACCGGTCATCTAATCGGTGCACCTACACCTCTATTCCTACTCATTCATCGCTTCTCACACAGGCGCTAGGCCACACATCTCTGTGTTCGATACACTTCCAGTCATGAATTTCCCCATCGCGGATCTTACATCCTATCGTCCTACCGATCTTCCACCTCCTATGCGCTTGCTTTTCGCTCTCCCTCCGATATCACACGCCAGCGGCATCCTCAACTTCCGCGGTACGTAGTCATCTCCTCCTATTCGCTTCATTCCCCTATTACTCCCGCTATCACAAGCCATCGGCATCCTCAACCTCCGCTCGACGAAGTCATATCCCCTTTTCCCCCTCCTCTCATTCGCTTCTCATTCCTATTCCTTCCGCTATCACAGGGCATCGGCATCCTCCGTGCGACCTAGTCATCTTTCCCTATCCCCTCTTGCTATCCAACCCCCTTCTCTCCTTCCTTCGAGTATCACAAGCCATCGGCATCCGAACCTCCGCTCAACATAGTCATCTTCCCCTTTCCCCTTCCTCTCATTCGCTTCTCTTTCCTATTCCTTCCGCTATCACAAGCCATCGGCATTCCCAACCTCCGCGCGACGTGGCCATCCCCCTTTTCCCTTCCCCTATTTCTTCCGACATCACGAGCCATCGGTCTTCTCAATCTCCGCGCTGCGTAGTCACCCTGCCCCCTTCACATCCTCCCATTCGCTCCCTTCTCCTTTTTCCTCCGTAGTATCACACGCTCCCGGAACCCTCCATCTCCGCGCTGCCTCGTCATCCCCCTCCTTCTCTATTCCTATTCGCCCACTTCTCCTCGTTCCTCCGCTATCACACCCTCTCCCCCTCGTTGCCGTGTAATCTACGTGTCCTCCGCCGGCGAAACGCGGAACACCCGCGACCGATATCGGCGCACGCGGGCGTTTGGGGAGGCGCGCGGGAGGTATATAACACTGCCTTCCCCTCGAGTTGGGGGAGGGCGGAGACAGGCGGCAGAGGAGGAGAGGCAGAGGGAGAGGAAGAGGTTGGGGCTGCGGGGTCAAGCACTCTATATCATAGCCCGATGGAGGGAGGGTAGGGTGGGGAAAGGAAGACATCGTGGTGAACTCTGCCATGGAGAAGGTGCTCGTGTTGGTGGAGGAGGAGGTGGTGGGTGTTTGATCAAGATGCCGATGGGGATCAAGACATGGGTGGTGGGGAGAGTGTGGGAGTGTGTTAACCACACACGAATAGACCACAATGGAGAGGTGGGTGGTGGTGGTGTCGTTGACTGGCGAAGGAAAGATCGGAATGTTGGGGGAGGTTGGATTGGCTCTACCGCGTTAAACTCTACCAGGGGCTGAAAATATGGGTGGGTGTCTCGGATTTGGCGGTTTGGAATGAAAAGAAGGCGTATCACAATTGCATGGGGAGGTGTGGTATCGGAAGTCATCGGCGTAATCCTTCGATGTTGGGGGAGGCTTGGGTTTCATCACAAGGTTAGGAACCAAGGCGTGATGGGTGCTGTCCTGGACTCGGTTGTTTGGGAGCAAAATCGACCAATCGACAATACTATGGGGGCGCGGAGTCAACCAACTGACGCGATATCACCAACGGCTATGAAAGAATGTTCATGGGTCCTGTCCTGGAATCTGGCCTTTCCCAAGTCAAAACGCGATCCCAAAACACAGTATGGGGAAGTGTGGGATCATCGTAGCTGTGACCCGCTGATCATGTGGGTAGAGTTTGGGTTTCTGTCGCAATACTACACCAATTGGCCAGGAATGATGGGTGCTAGGGACAGCATTGAACAGTGCGTATATTCATGCTGGTGGAGTTCGGGCTTGCTCTAAACAACTACTGCCAAGATTCGACATGGCTGAGGTGCTGAGATCGGGGTTTTGGAACCAAAAAGCACCAAATGAGAAGCTGATGGGGAGGCGGGATCAAAAGACGATGTGTGGTAGGATCATGTGCGCGCAGCTTGGTTCTGTTGCAATAACAGCAGCTTGTAAGGAATTATGGGTGCTGTTCCCGACTTTGGTCTATCAACAAAACCGATACTGAAATAGGCCGATGTTGGTGGAGTTGGGACTTGTCAAACACGTCCAAATTTTTCATGATGGCTGTGCCCTGCACTCGGTCGTTTGAACCAATCTAGAAACTGGTGCAGATTATGGAGAGGTGTGGAATCAGCCATGGCTGCACTGATGGCCATGTAAGTAGAGCCTGGTTCTGTCAAAAACTCTGTTTACCGAGAAGCGCAATGGATCCTGTCCTCGGCCTTCGTCTTCTCACCAAGCGGCGAAAAGGAGTTTTCCATGTTATCAGAGTTGGGACTTGCTAAACCGAACCGTCCTTATCGTCGTATGGCTGTGCCCTGAACTCGCTCGTTTGGGGCCAAATCAGGAACTTAGTGGGCATATGGAGAGGTGTGAAATCAACTGGCCCCGCACTACCAGCAAAATGGGTAGAGCCTGATTCCGTCAATAACCAAGCTCACTGGATGTTATGAATGCTGTCCCCGGCTTTAGTCCCATCAACTACAGAATATCGTAAAGTGCATGTTAGCAAAGTTAAGACTTGCCAAACCAAATTGATGTTACAGTACCAAGACATAAGTTTAAGCACTCCTTGCAAATGCTTGGGGTACCCCGACAGGCTTTCAAAACTCCACATACGATGTCAAGGCCAACGCAGTGGATATTAGATTATCTTTTGGCGACGCTATTACCTGCTAGTTGGGGTACTCCTAACAGTGGCGTCGATTGAGCAAAAGTGGAGCCGGAACTGCGATAAATGCATGTGCCCGAACTTATGACCTAGTACTGTACCGTTATATGGATGTGGCCTGCACTCGGTTGTTTGGGGCCAAATCAGAAACCGCTCAGGTTTATGACGAGGTGTGCAATTAAACAAAGCCGTGCGTCCGCTTAAGTGGGTAGAGCTTGGTTCCATCGAAAACTAGTTGCGGAACGAGCTATGAGTGCTGTCCCCGGCTTTGGTCCTATCAACTAGAAGCAGTCTTGTCTGCATGTTGGCTAGGTTGAGTCTTGTCAAACTACCCCAGCAATGTATGTCATGAGTGTGTCCAGAACTCAGTCGTCCAACACCATAACACGACTAAAGTGGATATTACGGAGAGCTGGGGCATCAAAAGCATGTGGATGGCAATTTATGTGGGCGGATTGTGAAGGCTATTGCAACATAATCAAGCATCAAATGATGGGCGCAGTCTTGGACTCGGTAGTTTGGACTCAACTTGGGCCACGAACCAGATGAATGGGGAGGTGTAGTCTCGCCCTCGCTCTAGCGTAATCACCATGTGGGTCGAGATGGATTCTATCCAAAAATTCCTCTCCTGGAATTTTATGGCCGACGTCCTGGAGTTGGTTGTTCTGGGAGCCAAACTACCGGGTCTCTTTGATACTAGGGGGTTGTCGTGCAAAACCAGCAGAAAACAATGGCTAATGTTGGTGGAGGTGGTGTTCCATTACAAACGTATCCTGAACTCTGGTTATGAGCGCTGTCCTGAAGTGGTTGATTGGCCGGTCAAAAGTCCGAAAATGTGCACTAATGGAGACGGGGTTGTTGAGCGACCTCCTCCTCACTTCTCGAAGTATTTAGGCACACACCGAGCTTTCGGCTCGTCACATCGCCGTATGGTACCCTTCTATGACATCGTTCGACGTACAGTTTAAAGCATCTAGACCAAATCAAGATTCTCCCACCGTCAAATCATGCGGTGATTGTACACAAACCCTTGCCCAATGGTATGAGTCCGGTACACACTCTAGGACGCCATTAAAGCGGTTCCACAGTTATGACCTAGGAGGGTGGGTGTGCGTGGAATCAACTTTGGAGCCGTTGCAACCGTTACCGTAGGCTACAACGTTACGCTATAAGACACCTGATAAGTGCTATCTTAGAGTCTGAGATTGGTTGGTTTGAGAATCAAAATCCGCATTCCAGAATCTGCTATGGGAAGAGAGTTGTCGATTAAGAGAACGTTTAAGATTTGATGTGTATGGAGGTTGGCTTCTATCACGCACCCATCGATAAATATCGTGAACTAATACCCATAATGTGCTAAGACTAGCCCTTCCGGAATTCTAGTCCATTATGGCACGAAGTTATGGAGGCGGTGCCGGGGTCTTATTGGTTAACAGCTAGGGTTAGTGGATCTGTGGGCGGAGTTTGGGTTTCGCTATCATAATGTACTAGAAAAACACTTTATGGGTACTTTCCTCGAGTTTAGTCGTTCAGCAGGTCTAATGCTTTTGCAGGCAGGACGACGGGACGGATTTGTCGACCAAAACCAAGTCCGATCACTCACCAATGCGAGGGGACTACGGATTCTCGTGCAAACAGCACGGCAACGACACTTTGAGCGGTCATGTCCTGGCGTCGGGTCCTTCGAGAATCGGGAAGTCAAGACCCGTTATACGCATAATAAATATGGAGAGTACAGCTTACTTCGTCATTCTGTCCGCAGCAACCGGTATAGGTTCAGGAGGCATGTTTTTGCCCGCTCTCTTGCGTCAGTCATTATGTTATAGGGCAAAAAGACCATCGAACAATAACAACTCTCATGTGCCCTCCGATCACACTTGAACCACTCAATCTTACCCTAGGCAACCCAATCTAAATTTATGTACCAACTCATCGATGGGCGGAAGTTGTGTAAACGCGTATCCACCAGCGGTTCGTGTGAGCAGGACTCTGATCTGGGTACAGAATAGTGCCACATCAATGCACAATGCCATGGAATTTTCCGGGCCCTTCGGGGTCAGAAATCACAAGTGAGCACAGGTCAATGGAGAGGACAACGCCTCGATCAAATTCCAAAAGCTCCAAACCCATGTTCGTGCCCATCCTCCTTGGCCTTAAGTTCATTACTCTGTTCGGGAATTGGCAATGCCGTGGAAGCTCCTCGGTACTTCGATATCGAAACAAACTTTCCGCATTTGCAATGGAGTGAGCATTTCGGCGACTAACGGCTACGGGTTCTCAGAGTATGTCAGAGTCGCTCTACCTTGTTCCAAACATACACGTCATACCACCAATGTGGTGTCTTGGCAGAGTGAGGTCGTTTTAAAATCCGTTTGCGGAGATCTCTATGTAGACTTATAGTACGTGAAGAGTAATATCGCCCAATATTAGTAGAAACACGACCGCTCGTTGAGCGATGTTGGGATCTGAAACTCCGCAATCTCCGCTGGTATGTGGCCGCTTGGAAGGATTGGGAAGTTCTAGATGTCAATCTCCGGCAAATCACTAAAAGATGAGGGGGATTGTGGTCCTCGCTTCCAAATACAAGCTGAGTCCTAGGTATGTTGGCGTGATTTGGATCCTTCTAAAAGGCATGTTTGAAGCACGCATATGGTCTCTTAAGGATCCACCCTTTTTAAAGCTACCTCTGATATGAACTTGGACTTTGACTGAAGATGGGGTAGAGCTTTGGGAACTGCCTTGAAAACGTGACACAGAAACGGTCGATGGAGCTTGGACTAACAGCAACATAGTGCCCAATGACAGCACGCCATGAGGTGCCTTGAGAGAATTGGGCGGTTTCGAAGTCAACTCCCTGCAAACAGTAGTCTGACGAGGAGGGTGTGGCCGAGTATCTTCCAACATGCAATCAGACAGTCACTGATGCGGTGCACGCATGGCATACCATGGAATTGGATGTCGTCGTGTAGTGTCGAGGAAGAGAAGAAGAGTTTCGGAAATCAAGCAGTTCAGTTCTAACAGTGATAAGGAGATTGATGGGGACCGTCTTCTAAATTCAACTCTGCAACACCGCCCATATGGCTTGGCCGAGGGCGTTCATCCTCATAAGATATGAGTCTCCCAGTGGTGTTGTGTAAGAGCTGGTTCAACTTCGGAGCAAACATTAATGAAGACATCCCCCATGGATAGGGGAATTTTCGACCAACCCGCAATATATGGTAGCTCAAACTGGTGTAGATCGTGTTTTGTTATAGCAGACCATGCTAGCAACGAATGTGGTTTCTTGGAAAGGCCAGCTCGTTGACGGATTCAACTAAATGGCATCCACTCTCTTACGAGCACGTCTTATTTCCACCCACTACGATCTTGCTTCAAAACGTGCAGCGTACCTTGTCAAAAACGGAGAACCAGGCTACTTCATGCAGTCGGCATCTTGGACGCGCTGGGTGCTTTTTAGGGTCAGCATCTACGCCCTCAGAATCCAGGACCATGGACCTTTACGAACCCCGGCCGGTAGATATCTATATATACCCAGCTAAAAGATAATTACACGGACGTCCTCCTGGTCTGAGAGCAGCTGTCATGCTGGTAGAACTTTATAGTCCGTCCCTAAAGCTGAATATCAAAGTACGATGAACTATGGCAATTTCCTGGGCAAAGCGTTAGAACGTTGGCGCCAACTTCGTAAGTCGAAAGGAGTCATAAAATCAGAGTTATCGCCCAAACACATCCTAAATCAGCTACATACGGGAGGCTTTCCACTAGTTGGAACGATTTCAGACTGTGAGCATATTGTGGCCATGAGTGTTCCCGTGGCGCATCTTTCGCTTGTCTCAAAGTTAAAGTCACGCGCGTGGGTCCGAGATCAGCTAAACACGATGCCAAGTTCAAGGACATGGAGACTAAGCTACCTCTTCACTGGCCCGCTATCTAGCAGCTAGGCCATTCCAGCCAGTGCTATTCAGCGTCCAAAAGTGTGCCTCGCGTGACTCTATTGCCGCTGCGCTGCGTGTGGGGTAACGCAGTCACATGTCGGATGCTTTTTTTATACAGGTCATCACCGACCGCCGAGAAGATATTATCAGCGCTGTCTATACTTTGGGTTTGGTTGAAATTGAAACGCGCTTCATTTCATGAGTGCTCCTTGGTGGACTGTTTTGGGGTTTCTAGTTCAACACGTTTCAAAACGTCTACTATGGGACCGAAGTCGTCAACGAGAAATTCCTCGACCAGCACAACGATGTCTGCCGAGCTCCCTCTTTGGCCACAATCCTCTGTGGCTTCACCTTTTGGGCGAATTCTTCGCAACCCTTTTTGACTTGCAAACTCCAACTCGGTAGTCGCCGTGGAATACGTGAACGAGGCGACCATCAAAAACGTTTTGGCGGCTCTCACGCTGATTTTGACTGGCTGTTCCATCGAACCTTAGAGAGCGTAGTGCAGTACGATCTCAAAGTCGATCTCTTGGTAATACTAGTAGAATGGGACCAGAGTTCTCGAGACAATTAGCTCAATGGCGTAAATATTGCTGGTGCCAGAGCATGATCACAAAATTGGCGGCTCTGATACAATGAGTGCATTCCCAACTAAGTCCTGTGGAGGTTTGACGTCAATATCTCCAAGGATGCCGTCGAATGATCCCGAAGCTGTCGAACTTTCCTAGCTATCCTAAACATGTCGATTGCACTTTGAGCTTGGTTATACCGCCAGGTTGGTGTCCATTATGGTGGGATGTTCCTTGGCGGACTTCTCTATCTATCCGAAATTGAAGTAGTCAAGTCAATGTATCATGGCGTCGATCAAAAATCAAAGGAGATAATGTTGGGTGGCTTGGTATCTCTCGCGACTTCGTTTCATGGAGAAGTATGGGTGCCCCCATTTTAGAATTCAGGGTATAGTTTGAATCAAGTGCCGATAGGACTCTTCGTATCGCGACGAAGCTGGCGACCAAAGAGGGAATACATGTCGGAGGGACATCGCTTTTGGTTCTTAGGTGGATTCTTCAAAGTCTATGGCCGCTTTCCTCAGCAGGGTGCTGTATATTTCCAACGTTAAAAACTCTATGAAGAAAAAAAGCTATGGGAGTAGCGGTTTCCGGTCAATCAAACATGTCAGCACCATGGGCCACGTCTGTGGGGCTCCGATCTCAGATATAATGTTATTTCGCGTCGGTGCCTCCGTAGAGGAGATTGGTTGTTTAAGATAGCCAGCCACTATAGGAGTTCTTTCCATGCTGTTAACGGAGCGGAGGTTGGAATGGGGAATAGGTTCTATTAATGTAGTATCGGTTCGCTTCAGATTTACAACAACAAGCCGCTCTTCATGCAACTGGGTGCTTTCGATTTGGAGGGTTTAGATTTCGAATCGAATATCGCCTGTGCTACTTGGAATATGTGAATCGGTACAACGGCCGTCTTCGAAACCTCCACCGTTTTGATCCATGCTGCCAGATCACTAGGTTGGGTGATGCTGATAACGCTCGAAGCAGAGGTCCTAGCATGTGGCGGAGTGTTCTAGTGCGTGGAAATCGACATCATAAAGAGGATTTCTTTTGTCTTTATGGGGGCAGTTCTAAGGGCACGGTCGTCCTGTCGAATAAGAGCAAGGGGAACAGCATGAGAAAAAAGCCGAGTGCGCCGGGTACCTCGTCGTCGCTTGCGAGAGAAGATGCGGAATGGATCGTGGAGGACTTTGAGGAGAATAATGCAGAAGTGCCGTTGAGCGATCTCCATACCATTACGTTCACGAGCGTAGTGACTAAGGCGGCGTTGGAGAGTGTGGGCTTAAGTGGCGCATTGGGTATTGAAATGAAGTAGAGCAGCAAGGTTCCAATATTGGATACGATGGAGAGTGATGCGTTGGTGCAGATTACTCAGAAGTGGGTATGTGACATAGTTCAGGGATGTGGTCGGCGTGAAATGCTGAGAGAACGCTGCAACTTTTAATTTACGAAACTCCTTGTGGACCAAAAGCAGAGCAGTCAAAGATAAAATGTCTATGAGTGAGTGTATCCGCGGCCCAAATACAATGTGTGCAACTTTTATGAAACGTGGCTTAGGGTTGGGATGCCAGTTACCAGTGTCCAGGCATCGTCTCTTCCAGGAGAAATAAAGGCAGTCCGTGAAAAGAAGATTGCTGAAAGACTTGGCCCGCTATCAAAATGCAAGTGGTACTACACAGCTCATGAACGCATGACAAGTCGAGTTGGACAAAATACTCAGCTTGCTGCGTAGACTAGTGCAATTCAACAAACAATGCGCCTCGGATTGGCCCGTTCAGTAATTGCATCATTGTTCTAATCTATGGGTATACCTTTGTCCACACTATCCTGACGTAGAGACTATGTGCTGGCGTCCGGGATTCAGGAGCTCAAAGCAGCCCACATGTGAGAGTTCCTTGGCGTAGTTCGCGCCAGCGTGAGCGGATTAGTCGGCCTTGTATTCGTTCCATCACTCAAAAAGTATGGAAGACCACTATAGGCAGGATGAGTTGAAAATCATCGCACCTAAAAATGATAGAGGACCCATGGTCTCTCCTCTGCACATTCGGTTTGGATCATCCAGACTCATAATATTTGGAGACAACAAATACGCAAGATCCCCAGGAACATGTCAAGGAATAGACATCGCGCAAAATTCATGCAAAGCGTTAAGGCTGCAATGCAACCTCCCCTCAACGTGAATATCGATCCTCTATCTACAGACAGTATGGCAGAAGCTACCATGATCTGCTTTGGCATTTCTTTGACCATCCACGCAAAGTAGACAACACCCAACCAACATCAACCCATGGGTGGCTTTTGTCTCCAAGTTTTGCAAATGCGATACTATGTAGATTCTGTCCTGGATACCAAATCACGGAATTCCCACTGAGCATGAAAGCTGGCCCTTAACAAAAAGAGAGTATCTACAAATGTCGCCATGGGTGGTGCCTGAAATCGAAAACACCGAGGACGTCTGCTTGCGGCCGCTCAGAGTTCGTCCGTGGGCGCATGAGTTTGCCTTTCGATTGAAATCAATACGGGAAAGCACAGTTATGATCTCACGCAGGAACAAGAAGTTACCAATGAAGAGCTAATGTGGTCGCGGGTCTCTGGACTTGTCCTTGGCTATTCTAACGGATGAAGCACACAGTGTTCTAGTATCCTGGGAAGATAAGCCCCTACCAAGAATATTGAGGTACATTTATTCCGATACAAAACAAGATAATTGCAGTCCATACCATGTGCGCGTTTTTTCTTGGATTTGGGGGGCTTGCAATTAGTTCAAACCGTTAGTCTTATAATATCTTTCACGGAAGTCAGCACCGATGCGGCGGATGGTGTCGGGATTCTCGAATCCGTTTTCCGATACGTCTTGGACGAGTTTCACCGGAGGGACCTTCGAGATTAGAGTTCTCCGGTACGCTATGAGACTGGGGACGTGTTTTGGTCTCCTCGGCGAACATGCCTACATCTACAGAAGAGGATGTATATGTTCTCCTGATTCGACGGAAGACCTAGCCTGAAAAAATATGGCGGCCTAACTTGCCAACACGGTGGTGAGCAAATTCATGGGTGACTCTGGATCAGTAACCTCTGTGGTTGAAGAGGAATGAGTGCTGCACTCTCAACCAAAGGACAGCATAGAGACATAGGATCGCCGTTTGGTAGTGGACCAAGTATTGGAAACTGTGGTTTCTTTCCTCATGGCTGGCCAAAGAACAGGCCTGCATTATTCTACGCTTCCTCAGTCTTGAGAAAATGTTTTGCATCAACTGGCATATGTGGCCCTAGTTGGTGATAGCAAACATAGCCGTAGGTCTAAGAATACATCGGCCGCCAAAGCAATACAGAATGTGCAAACATGCTCCTATTTGTACGATGTTCTGATTCTGGAGCAAAACTGGAACAAACCCTATCGGAAGTTCCGTTAGGGGTATTATCGAGTCTACTCGAACATACTTAGGAGTAGTATTCATGGTTTGCTGATCCACCAAGCGTTCTCACCAATAATCACAATTCTGGAATCAACCAAGGTACAAGAATCCCACATGGAAAGTGGGTTTCTTGCTTTTCTCCCACCTAGCTGAGAGAAGCGCTCCGGAATTTCTTTGAATCAACAAACCATGAGACCTGGGGCAAGAATATGGGTTGTTGGCCGTGGTCGTTCACCATTGGTGTTGCAGCATATGCAGGTCTCCTGTCACTGATAACAGAGAGTCGCCTGGCGAGGCCTTGGTTGCCTTTGTCGACGATCAAGAAATGGCGAAACGTAAAATGGTGCAGCGTTGTGGGGTCGCTGTCGCTCCATGGAGTGAAACGAACGGAACATGAATGAAATACACTTTTGAGTGGGACCATACCAAGTCGGTTCAGGAGCTTCTGCCACAATTCAATCGCGAATCCTTATCATACTTCTCACTATAGTGTTGTGGTGGTTACAAACGACCGTATAAGGGAGGCAATGGAGCTCTCCCCTCATATCTGCATCGAACACCAACCCAGGCATGGTGTGGAGGGCATTTTCTGTTCCCAAATTAGAGCTTTTGGGAGACTAATGTGCGGTTACGGCAATCCAGAGTAAGTGCACATATGAAATTAATGGTACGAAGTATTTTCTTTTCCTGAGTCCAAAAACGTCGCTTTGGCATTTCATGGAAGGAAGCCTCTTCGGCGCTTCGACCTAGAATAACGAGATCGTCTTTAGGGATATCACTAGCCAATGTGCTCCTCTGGAAGTCGCGAGCTGTTACGCAAACACCTCGTGAACACGATGGCAGAAATAGTGGCCTTCTTTAAACTGTCCATGAACGGTATGAAATTATATCACGTGGCGGCTTGTCCTCTACCCTTATTTCGGGAAGCCTCTTTTCGTGAGTGGCTGTGGCTATTCAAGAAGGACTTCGAATCAACCCGTTTTATGGTGGTTTTGCTTGCCCTGGGGCTGGCAATAGATGAAACCGTCATCCATGGGCCAAAATGCTATCGTACCGCTCTCTCCGAAGCGGTCCAAGGCTTTCATAGTCCCAGGCCATGATATCTTTATGTCTGAGATGATGAGATCCAGCCCTGCGTCCTTCGACCCCTGAGGCCACGACCAAAAAGCCCGGAGTTCTGTCCTTATGGGTGGAAAAGGATTGCTTCTCCTTCTTAGATGAAATCCGCTGGACGCTGACACATCGTTTTGGAGCTCGTAGCTGTCATTCAGATCTGCAAACTCAACACTGCATGAGTATCTCAAGCTCATCGCGTTCCAGGCGGATCTCTTAATAGTACATTATAGTATATCTTCTGCCTGGCTCATCGCTCGCCCGCTATGGAGGCTGGTACGACGGCAATGAAAGTACGTCTAAGCCCTTTCCTGAAAGCCAATAAGGTCTACCCGTGGATGGAGCTGGTGTTTCAGTGCCAGCAACGACGTAGTAGCCAAGGCTCCATAGCGAGTATAACCATGTCACAAAGTCACTGGAATCAGAGCTCAGTGGAGATGCTTGTCCGGCCGGTCTTGAAAAGTTCCACGATAGGTTACCATGTGTGGCTCTAGCATCTTTCAGAGCGACGAAATCATCGCGACGTAGGCGGCGAGTGCCATGGTATCCTCGTTTTGTCAATCCAGAAAGGGCTCCTGAAAACTCCACATGAGTGTAGATCGACATTTGGATTCCCTAATCCATCATGTACTATCGGCGTAGGGTCGAACACCTGATGAGCTGGAGTAGTTCTCGTTCAAAAGTTGAAGTAGGAGTCTCAGGATGCCTAGTATATTATAATGACGAGAACGAGAAGCGGAGATTTATTTTTTCGTCCAGATAAATCTTCGCTTAGCCGGTCGCACTTGGGGTCTCTGAGCACATCAATTCATCCAAACGACACAGTTCATGCTGCTCAAATAAGCAGTCCAAAAGACTGGGATGGGAGACCCTCTGCCGGATGACAATTCCGTTTGCTTCAAATTCACCATCCCTACTTTGTACGTGCTGAAGCCGTGGTCCTGTGGTGTGGTTTAGAGATTCTACTCTAGCCTGCCTATACGTACGTGCTTCCCGAACAGTGTATCGAAAGCAGTCTGAGGCAAATCCGTGATGGGCAGTGGATTCTGGATTGAAATTGTGCTATTCTGGTGTTACATGCTCTGGGTCTGTCTGTCTCTAGTGCGCTTCGGGAACTATAAGCTCGCTGGCCTTTGCCCATGCACCTTCCGTCAACGAGAAATATAAGAGCTCGATAGTTTCCGATGCGGGAGATACGTACTGGCATCAGAAAAATATGACACTCGCTCACATCATGGTTTGCGTCTCCCGGTGGCGGGATTGTGTTCTCAAGATCCAGTTGCATAACTGGAAGCTTAAAAAGAAGCTCAGTTCACCAAATAATGGGACGGAGCCGGAGTATCGGGTTCAGTTTCATCATAGGACTTCTGTTGGGTTTCAACTCGGCTCGCCCAAGATGTTAACGTATGCTTAAATCTATTCACCTGTGGTGGTATGCTTCCTAAATTTTCACCAAGCAATTATGCCTTGCATGGGTCTCTCTTTCTGTCGGTCTGGCTCTGGAGAAAGGCCTCCCTTTTGAAGTAAAGCCAGGCAGGGAAACGTAGCGCCATCTATAATTATAATGGGCTTGATCGGTTTTTACACGATAATTCATCTCATTACATGGCTTCAAGTGGAATGGGTGGGCTAATCTATATGCGCTAACTTTGGCCTTCGGTCTGGTTTCCCAACGATGTCAATTATGGGAGTCCTGCGTTTTATCGATGGTCGTCTTTCTAAAACCAGTGCTGGACCTTTCTACCAGTGGTTCACATCTAAAAACATGGTCGCCGTCCTCATGGGACGGTATTTTGAGTTTCCTACGCGTCTCTGATGGCGGGAATGAAGTTGCCGCTAGGAACGGAGTAGTATGATTGGAAATTTGGTATACCATTCCGAATTTACAAATTTTGAAGTCCCTCACCGTAGATCATGGCAGATCTGCGCACTTGCGAGTGGGTAAAACAGAAACTTGAGGGAAAGCTCGTTGTACCTCATTTCGACACTTTACCACCACAGCATTTCTCAATTTCCACTGCGTAAAGAGAAAATGTCTGCTTTGCTCTTCAGCAATCAGAAATGGAGGCGAGAGAATAGAGCTATTGCTCGGTTGGCGGAAGCTTACTTTACTAGAAAGCCGAGCATGGGAAAACTGTCTCGCGAGGATCGAAAGTCCTATAGTGGGGTCACGCCGTCAAATAAAATACCATACTGACAGGCCGTATGTGTGCTGCCTCTCGTGGTTTGATTCTCAAAGAGACATGATATTTGGCGCGAGAGCAGAGTTCATGGAGTCGACAAACCGTTCGGTTCTCAATCGTTATGAGAAATAACTTCGACCTTGAAACTCAGTAACGTGTCTTATTTTCTGCGTTCTCTGCCCTTCCTCCAACAATTACGTACAAGGCCGGAACAGGTACACTATCGATGGATGGCAAAAGCAGCCTGGAAGGGTACATACATCTAATCCGTGCAGCAACGTAATGGAAATTTAGCTGCGCTAGCAAGTCGCCTTTCAAATGACCGAATTGAAGGCCTCATGATTTGAGGGCGGCTTGTTACCAGTGCTTTATTTTATTCAACCGAATGGCCCGGATTCAACCTTGAATCCTGCACAATTCAGTCTGGTTTTGTTCTGTCGGATTAATAGCTATGATAGCTTTTTTAGAGAGTATTTTAGCTTTCAACGTGGGATCAATATCGCCACATCTTCAAGTCCATGTTCGAAGAGGCGGGGAAACCCTGGGCTTTCGGACAAGAGTCAGTACACAATCCTAAACCCGCGTTAAGTAGATATCATGGCTGGCAGACTTCTAAATCGCGTAGAAATTCGGCTTGTGTCCTTGTGCCAACAACCGTACACATCGAAGACTATGTGCCTTGCGGCGTTGTTGGCTAGTTTCAATTCATTCCCTTCCCAAATCTGTCGGCCGTGCAACTCCTCGTGGTAAATTCATATAGGAGCACCTCGGTTCCTAGCTTCTACCCCTAATCACATCAGGAAAGCATTCCCCGATTTTGGCTTAGAGGGAAATCACAACGATTAACCAGCTCGACTCTATGGTGTGTTGGCTGCAGGATGGAAGCGACTGCGTTTTACAACCTTAGGTCTGAACATGTTTTGATGTCTGTACCGGGAACACAATTTGATGACTCATATAGATGACCGAAATCAAACTAGCGGGTCATCAGTGGAAGAAGAAGCAAAACGATATAGAAAAGCCGAAGACAGCCTTAGGAAATGTGGCCCGAGAAAGAGCAAGCACCTCAGATACGCCTTCGTGTATTTCGATGGGCTTGAGATGTCGGTTCGAATCGGTGTCGATTGTCTCAATGCGCTGACTGGTCTATAAACTGAAGGAGACCTGTATGGAGTGGATCGATTGGTCTATCGACGAACAATGAAAATGCTTGTTGTGATTGTCGAGCAAAGGGCACTCTTTTGGCTGACTGATACCTGTCTGCAAACCAGATTAGGATAATGACACTGCTTTGGAGAAGTCCAGCTTCACGTAACAACTAGGGAAGTCGAGGGTCCCATATCCTTATTTCCTCTGGCCATGGTTCTCTACTGGACTCCTCATCAAGAACTGACTACCGCCTTGGCTCATTGGAACCACTCTGGATTGGAGACTGTATTCGATGGTTTCGTCATTCATGACCTCCATGGGTATTCATCTGAGACCCCTGATTTATCAAGTGTCAAGTGCACGCTGCTTTCTAACCATGAGCCGTGAGGCAAAGATCGCGGCACCACCACTGAACATCATCTCGGCGAGCTTACTATCGAACTGCCCATGAATTTCCTGGGATGTTCGTTCAGTAGATCTAAAAAATTCGGCTATTGGGGTTTCTTTCATGAACCAGCCCGAGTTTCTGATCTCTGCCAGCTTCTTGGTAGTCAGTATTGCGTAACAGTCATCGCAAAAAGGATTTTCATGCTGTTTTCGGCCGTCCATATCAGGCATAGATTCCGCACTATGCTTGTTTGAGTTTACTACTGGAGGTTGAAAGAAAGACCCACGCTTTTCTTTAATAGGAATCGGACAGATCCTTCACTTCTATCGCCTTGGCATCGTACCGAAACCCCGACTCGAATTTCGCTATGTCACCGGAGATTTCTTTGCGTAATAGGATGTCACTAGAATGAAGCACTATGAAACCTGTCTCTCTTCAGATGTTCTGAAGGATCTTGACTAGCTTTCAGGTTATACTCTGAAGACGACATGTGTTATGGAGAAATCATACCTTCCACTGCGTAATAGCAATGCGGTATCTTACTTCAGCTTCAATATCACAGTGTTCCTACGAAAGCGGCATTCTTCTTCTTCATCTTCAGCATCTTTTAAGGAGGAATCAAACATAGGATTCCCGAATGGCGATGCCCGCGGGTCGCTGTTCAGAGAAATATTGCTGACTCGAGCCTCTCCACCGGAGAGCGGCGGAGATAGTGAAGCTGGCGACTCGATTCGGACTATCATCGTGTCACAATCGGCTCACATTGCAATTTTATGACAGTTGACCGAAGTCAGATTGCCTACGCTGCTTTCACATTGCCTAGGTCGTGGGCCAGTAATCATCGATCGGCAAAAAGACCGCAACTATAGCAATGAAATGGCATTGGAGACCAGGGAGATCTTCCTAGCTATCGACAGCTGTCATGAACGAAACGAATGGAGTGTGAGCAGCGAATAGTCGTCAAGCCCAATCGTTTGCCTAAAGTACGGAATGGAGTGCTTGTTTTTGTTAGCCAAAGCGATCGTTGCTCACCTCCTATATCCGGACACTCTTCCGGAGTTGCCAACAATAAAATAACAACCGCTACTAACACATGGGTGCAGAGAAAAGTTCCTGTCCTTCGAGGAATGGCTTCCACACACATCATGTGGCTTCTAGTTCGCTGGTCGGTCTTCGATAATGTTACGGAGATGCTTTCCATAGAATACACGCTGGAGTCTCCCATGTGGCAGTCAGGGAGGACAGCATCTCTGGGGTCATTTAGCGCGGCTAGAAGCAGCTTTACCGACCTCAATTTCTGTCTAGTATTAGGGAGCACGTTCAACGTAGACTCTCCGCGATCCCAAGTGTCCGCTGTGCCTACCCGGGCTCAATTAAAAGCAAACCTAGTCGTAGCTTATGGGGGAGTGTCGGCTCGGCACCCGAAATCAAAAAACTCATTACCACAATTTAATGTCTCGGGAACTGTGGCGTGCTTCCTACAGAAATGTTATGCCGATGATGGGCGCTTTCCGTGTAAAGACCTTGGGAAGATATGGAGTATGGAAACAGAGTGTCGTAACAATTGTCACTACTACGAGAGCACGAAGCATGTTTGTAGTTTTGAAATATGTGCCATAATACCACCTTGCCTGTACCTCATTTCTTAGCGGCAACAGTGGACGTAAAAATACGACCCCTCCGTTCCTATGACTGCAAAAAACTCTGTCTAGTCAAAGTCTCGATCGAGCAAGCTCGTATCTTGGGGTTCTTAAAAATGGGCATATGACTCCACTGGGCTTTTCGAGAGTGCGTCGGGCTGGCTTCGAATAGGTTGAGAGCCGTCACCTAAACTTCCCGGTACAACGGTCCTGATCGTCTTGAATAGGGAGCGGATATTTTTTTTCCCTTAATCCAACTCTACTGCTCCATCCCGCAGTATATTCGTGGTAGGTACTATACTTTTAGGGGTAGTACACGAAACGATATCATGAAACAAGTGCGAAGGGTCAACACCAAACTAGCGAGTCCAGACCCTGGATGAGACAGGGCTGTGGAGCTTGAATCAAGCTCAAAATCCATCAAGGTGACCTTGCATATGGGTCGGGAAGCTCGGCATATGATCAGGCTAAGAAACGAGTTGTGATCGCGGCGTGTGGACTGAGACCAAAGAACTGCCGAATCCGAGAGCCATGGAGATTCTCTCCTTTAGATCCGCCCAATATTATTACCATTTAACGGCTGGCCGTATCTCTATCGGCAGTCTTCGGGTGTGAAAGAGCCTTTATCAGATGCGCACGCCATGTTCGAAGTCGAGATTAAGTTTTTGCGCTCAGTGCGGAAAGCTACGGTAGAACGCCTCATGTCTACTGGCGGGCTTTGGGTGTGTAAAGACCCATCAACGATGTTTCAACATAAGTGCAGAAAGTTGGATGCAAATGTAAGAAGCTGCGCTATGCAGTGGAATCGCAGTCCTGGATTTGAGGTCATCCTACAAGAGACCGATGCTCGCTGCTTGGCTAGTGGTTCTATAGTTCAGCAGACCCTGCTTCCGGTATGGATCACAAAGCGGTCTAAGCGGACTTTTATGGCAGTGGAAAAGATCTCCCTCGTCTTCGAACCCTAGACACGATACCCGCGCTCCGCCCATGCAGCGTAGCACTAGCTATGGCGTCTGCAAAAAGCAGGAAAACGCACGAATATGGGTTGGCAAAGCTGACTCCGCGTACTAATCCCGAGTGCCATAAGCACTAAGTACAAAGCCGCAGAAAGTCCATGTATGGCCCTGGACTGGAATCAAACTTGAGGAGTCAGATACCTTTACGATAGCCTTTTTACTCCTGCGCTAATCCATCTTCGGAATGAGATAGCTGTACTTCCCTGGCTCCCTAGTCTCACTCTTTCCTGGCCTCCTGATATAGAAGTTCATAATTGTTGAGATGCGATGAGAATTTACGCTCTGGATCAGTCAGGATCTCTGCTGTTCAGCTCATCTTCAATCGAGTTCTGAACGAGACACTGTGTGCAGACCGCTCCTTTGTCGCTCCCAAAGAGGTGAGAAAAGTCAGTTATGGTGTTATCCTGTGGGCTGGGCTTCCCTGGCAAGATCATCAAACTCCACAAATATGGGTGTCGGATTTGAATTGCGGCGGTTTACAACCGATAGCTCACGATGATTTAGGACAAAATGTCATGGATCATTCCCTTGGGAGCACTGAACACGATGTTTCGAGAACCAAGTACTAGTTAAAACATCACCAGCACTATGCCATGTAGTAGCCAGCGCTATCCTTGAAATTGTGTACAAACAGACATGAACTTACGCTTCATGTGTAGTTCAGGTTAGAGATAGCGCTTCCATACTGATCTATGCGTGGACTCTATGCTTGCTTCTGAAGTGGATTGGAGTACGACAATCTCCGAGATGGAATACGATGCCCCTGCGGATCCAGGCATGTCTCCGTCCCTAGGTTGATTAATACGGCGGTCTATGGAGTGTTTCCTGGCATCATGAAAGCAAGCTAGCCACCTCATGCTATCCCTGTCCAACAGCTTCAGGGTTGGGTCCTTTCCAAGGCCTCAAAAGATGACCAGGAAGTTTGAAACGACTCTGTTTGAGAAGCCCTACTTCTAGAGTTGTTCCGAATGGAAGAATTAACTCCACGTTGAGCACCAACAGCCTACGTTCGTTTTTCCATCTTAGAGCAACGGAGGAGGGAAGCATCTGGCCCCTGTTAGCGTTCTAAAACGCAACTTCCAGCTTTCCATGGTCCAGTTGTATGCTATTTCCTAGACAACTACGTGAGCAGCTCGCTACTTTCTAGCAGCCATGGCTCGTTCTCCTGTATTATAACTCCACGAAGCACCCCCGATATTCTGGGCCGCTCCCTGCCGAATTCGATTTAGGCACAGTGTTGAAAAGCTGGCCGCACCTCTGGGTGATAGTGGATCCCCCTCTTGCTTGACTGTTATTAAATAGCGCGAGGATTAAGCCGCATGAAGGCTTGCCATTAGTCCCTCTTCCGTCTCCAGAATCTTCAAAGGATGAGTCAATATGTGGTGCTGCACCCTTACCACGTTCACAACTTCGGGGAAAGTCGGGTCCAGACAATTTTCAATTCATCCAAAAAATCTCTCCGACTAGCTCGATGACAGCTTTCCACTGTTCAAAAACCTGAGAGGTCTGACTTCATGCACCCTCACGTCTGTTTTTTTTCCTGGGGAGAGCAAACATACCACCTGTACGTGGACAATGTTTGCTTTCCCCTGTCGAATACCAGGAACTAAATTGACTATGGCTCGAAGGGTTGTTCAAGATTTTCACGCACCGCATACACTCAGGTTGAAATTGATGTGAACTCTGATTTCTATAGACGTCTAGCTAGTTGTATATATACTAGGGGAAGGAAGGGGGCCACCCCCAGGGTGGCGCGCTAGTAAGTTCAGATGAGCCCTGCACAGCTGAGGCTTCAGCTCGGTTCTCTACAGCTGAGATTTCAGCTGGGTTCTCTACAGCTGATGTTCGGAGAGTAGCTTTCTGGCATATGAGTTGTTGATCCTAGGTTGTAGTGTTGCAACCTGAGTCATACGATGAGTGCGAGCTTGACCGTATCGTTCAAACTACTCTGCGATGGAGTTAGGGCTCAACTGCCACTGGCTACGTTCAGGATTCCAAACCGTTACCTGCGAAACATTATGGAAGCTGCCAGTGGTTCTTCGCCGGAAGACAGAGTGAAACTGGGCCAGCGCCCAAGGTCCCAGTGTTCGGTCATCTGATTCGGATGGGATAGTGCAGCTAGCCATGGTGCGGTAACTTCCCAGTGAAAAGCCACACTTCTTAGCTATAATGAGATTGAACGGGATAGTTTCTCCAATAGATTCGACATATGTACTATTGGGAGTTAATGTCTGGTTTCCTTGGAGGTTCCAAAACTACTACTTGGTTTCTTCATGGATCTAGCTGGCAACTCTTGTCCAACGAGTAGAGCGAACATTAATTTGCACCAGAGAGATCGATGTTTCTTCTCTCGCTTCAATACATCTTCTGCCAGTCCATAATGGTGCAGAGTCTCGCCGATCAAGATCTAAACTTGCTCGTGGACATGGTGACAGTAGGTCCGGTCGTCACTTTCCACCTCCTGATCATCGGCATCTCAGATAGGACTATGAGGCTTCTTTCTTTCGGTGCTCCAAAAATGATCCGAGGACCACTCCATGGGTCCGTCTTTCGACCGTGACGTCTCTCTTGAAGAGCGATCAATCGAAAATCCTCATGTTCTGGCCTGTCACATGGAGGGACATATCGTTCAAATGACCGGCTTTGTGTCTGTGATTCCCATAAGAAAGCCGATGTATCCCTCCATGTCCTTTTCTCGGGCATCCGAAATCCATTTGCCGTCAGAATTATGACTTTCCTCTTTTTGTACAGCGGCATCGTGGGGCTAGAGCTCGTCCACCCGATATCAAAATCGCGATGAAGCTGTTTGTTCGGTGCCCGGAAACAATGAGACTCCGGGTAGGTGATCATGTTGCCTCACTCGCTCGTAGTAGCAAACGCAGTATCAACTAAAGTGTACGCTTCATCGACGAATTATCTGAATATACTGCGGTGTGGGATTTCTAAATGGCTCTTGCAGAGCTCGTCTTACTGCTGACGGTAATTTGGGGCTTTCTGTTTGGAGCTGGGGAATAACGAGATACCAAGAGCAGCAGCTGCATGTTGCTCGCCCCGACTCGTAGTAGTTGCCGTAGGATTCAGAGGGGC